TAATATTGGGGAGAGACACACCAGCGTTACTCCTGCCATGGTGGTGTGGGGAGCCATAGGGTATGACATCGTGGTGTGGGGAGCCATAGGGTATGACATCGTGGTGTGGGAGCCATAGGGTATGACTTCAGGTCATCTCTGGTAGTGATTCGGGGGACCCTGACGGCACAGCGCTACGTCAGTGACATCCTGCGTCTGCATGTCTTACCCTTCCTGAGACAACACCCTGGTACGGTCATTCAACAAGATAACGACCATCCACACATGGCATGTGTGTCTGTGGACTGCCTGCGTCATGATGAGGTCGTCCTGTGACCAGCCAGGTCCCCCAATCCTTCCCCAACTGAACATGTGTGGGATCAGCTTGGACGTCAACTCAGCCCAGTGCCAATCTGCAGGATCTCGAGGGCCAGTTACAACAGCTGTGGGCCGACTTGCCGCAGGAGAGGATACAACGGCTGTCACATGATCTTGTGCAGATTCATTTCACTTCCACCACTCTGGGTGCTTAACTTTCTTTTGTCACTGAGTGTATTATTTTAATCCAGCATAAACATTTAGCAACAATTAAAAGGTTGTTTCAAAAAAAACATTAAAAGCACAGCAGTGGAAATTAGAACTAGAAATGATTATTTTATGCTGTATGATAAATAAATAAAACAAGATTATTAGAATAGACCTACAAATCTTACATATACATACCGTGTGCATATTTGCAGTGGAGTACCTTGCTCCAGTCATTTTCACTGACATGTGGGCTGACTCCACACTTGTAGACTTGCAAACATGATTCAGAGTCCCGGATAGGACTGTGGAGGTGACACAGGGGTTATGAGCTCACCTCTGCAGCTCCCGCACGGTCTCCACGTTGTGAGCGTACACATCCAGGCCGGAGAGAGCAATCCTCGCAACGCTAGCCAGGTCGCCCCGGAAGTCAGGCGTGAGACACTCCACCAGGATCTTGGGGTTCCTGGGGAAGAGAATCAGGCCCCTGCGTCACAGGAGTAAGACACTCCGCTCTCTTCTTAAGAAACTCCCATGCAGTGCTGCAGAGTGTAGACCTCCACATGAGATTAATGATTTTAGCCACTAACGGACTGTAACACTGGTGTGTGTGTGTGTGTGTGTGTGTGTGTGTGTGTGTGTGTGTG